GGAAAAAAAAGCAGTCTGATAGTGGGTCTTTTCATTAAAGGAGCACTGTAGTTCTGTGTGCTTTGAAAAAAGCCAGTTTTCCAAAGCTACAAATTGCAGCTTCAGCTTTTTCCTTTGATTTCAGCTTATTCTCACAGCAGCTTCCAAAATAAGCCATTTTTTTTAAGTTTACCAAACACCAAAAACACTCCCAGCTTTTTTTCATATGAACTTTTTTTAAAATCACCTCAACCCCAAACTGGGGCAAAGTCTGTAGTTCGAACCACCCTCCCTCCAAATTGCAATTTAAAATGAACATATGGATCGATGAAGGGGGATAGGCTCTAATATACATGCACATTGTGAGGCATGTAGTTCCTCTAAAAGTGTTATTTAAAGTGCAGTGTGACTAGATAACAATTCAAATGTTAGATTTAGATATTTTTGATGAGGCAAGAGAAGTAGAATTCAGAGATATGTTGTCAACCTGTTCTTGTAATTAGATGAAAGTACTTATAAATGTCACTCGTGAGATTTTTTTAATGACTAGATAAAAATTCAAGGAGTAAAAACACAAAAAATTACTTAAATGCTCAATTTTCTCGTGAAAAATTATTACTAGTATTGAATTGTTGATGAAATAGTTTAGATTGAATCTTATACACCGAATTATATTAGAAAATCCAGTTGAACCATGCCCTCAGATAACCAAAAAATTACAAGCCAAAAAAGTTAAAAAACAATCATGGGATGTATGTAACGAAGTTAATTAATGAAATCCTTGGAGCCTTTGGAAAGCTATATAAATTGTTTTATCAAGGATAATATTCCTTAATTACAAAATTAAACTAAGACTCGACATCGATTAAACTTGATTTAATAATGGAAGCCATGGCAGATGACAATATGTGTTTTGTTTTTTTCTCTGCGTTTTGTTTTGTTTTTTGTTTTTTTCTCTGCGTTTTGTTTTGTTTTTTGTTTTTTGTTTTTTGTTTTTTGTTTTTTTCTTTTGGTTAAGTGCTTTAGCTTTTAATCACCTTTCTTTAAAGGTTATGGAAAAAATAACTCAAAAATTGCTCCACTCTCTTTCCAAGCGCGTATCAGTGTCTTTGTGAAATTTTTATGTAAGCAAGTTTAGGAGTTGGAAGTCTTGCATCTTCATAGATGAAAATGAACTATTTACCTTCATTCAGTTTCTATAATTCTATCGAACTTCACGATTTAACGAAATCATGATCACTTATTATTTGATTTTAATTTAGGGTTAAATATTAAAATAATTCATGTGTTTTTAATTTGGCCGATTTGATATTTGTGTTTATCTCCGTTAGCCAATTAAGGATATTTCCATCTAATTTTCGTAATTTTTTTTAGGGACACTTAGGATGCGGTCCCTAGCTATCAATATTCTTTGATTGAAACCTTGTTAGTTTTTAGTTTTTGATTGAGGTCCCTGACATTAATGTAATAATGTAAGTTACTATATATTCTTTAAATTAAAAATTAAAAATTGTAATTTGTAATTGTTTATATTAATGAGATTTTAAATAAAACCCATAATTTATGGGATTAAAAATAATAAAATATAAATTATACTCTCTATTATATTGTGTGTGTGTGTGTACATATATGTATGGGTACATTAACCAAAATTAACAAAAAAAGTTATTGTACCAAAACATGGATACATTCTCAAATCAACGAAAAAGAATGTACCCATATAAGTTTAAACATGGATTAAAAAATTTGAAAGGATTTTATATTAAAAAAAGGGTACATTTTACATATAACAAATTGATATATTTGAGAATGGGTACATTTAAGATTAAAAAAATTGAAAAATTATATGAATGGGTACATTTAAGATTAAAAAATTGAGAATCTTTTTATATATATAAAAAAAACTAATAGGTACAAACTTAATTTAATTTAATTTTTTATTATTTTGGAAATGTTTGAATTGAAAATTAATTTAGGGTTTAAACTTCTAATTAATTACTAATTTTTATATTAAAAAATTATATAATAAACATGTAAATTTATTATCACATTAATGCTAGGGACTTGAATCAAAATTTGAGAACTAATAAGGTCTTAGTCAATGAACAGTAAGAACTAGGGGCCGGATACTAATTTTTCCTTTTTTTTATAATTTTATAAATAAGAATTTATAAAATTATTTTAAATCAAAATATTTAAAAAGAAAAATTATTCTCCTTCAGCTCTCTGACCTCCTTCCTAACATTACCCCTTATTTATTTATTTATTTTTATGTCACAACATTAATCGTTTTTTTTCAGATTGGAAGTTTTATTTCTTATATGTGTTATTTCTCATTAATTTGTATTTTTCTGTAAAGAGAAAAGGTAATTATTTCCCATTTGATTTTTTTCTTATGATTGGTTTTTTTTTTAAAGAGATTGAATGAAATGTCCTTAATTGGCTAATAGAGACAAACATAAAGACTAAATTAGCCAAATCGAAAACATGAGGACTAAATTGACTATATGGATATAACACAGGGACCCGTTTGACATTTAACCTGTGAAACAAGAGCCTCGAGTTTTGTATTATTGAGTTCAGAGTATGAGGCTCGGGGTTTCAAGACTTAAATTGATTGAAACGAGCCTCAATATCTGGATTACGAAGATCTAATTTAAGAATGCCATGGAACTAGAACTATTTTAAAAATGATTTTCAAGAAAATATCACGTGCTAATAAAGGTTGGGTTATTATACAAAATGGTTCCTAAGATTTGCATGATCAATAGAAATGGTCCCTGATATTTAAAATCAATAGAAATGGTCCCTAAGATTGTCCACTATCCATGATTTTGGTCATTCCGTTAAAAACTCTTTAGGCAATTTTTAAAGAACTCAATCGTTTCTTAACTAAATTCGACCCATAATATATCAAAATGAAGATAGGAAAGGGTAGAATAAGATTATACATATTTGGAAGCCCAATGGTTGCCGCAGATGGCCGGAAAATAGCTGAAAGGTGACTGGTCAACGGGAAAATTAGAAAACTCGACAGAAATTGGGCAAACTTTAAACGTTCATAACTTCTTCAATAATCAACCAAATCGAGTAATTCAAAAACAAAAATCATACTTCTCGACGAGATGAAGAGAATGGTAGCTTTTTTGAAGGCTAACTCGCTGTGGTTTGGTTGGACAATGGCTCGAAAGTGATTAAGTAATTTTATAGTTAAATATAGCTTTTGTATCTTCTAAAGTTAAAAGGGCCTACTTTTAACTGTAGATTTATCTAAAGTCCGATATGATTTTGTATGTATCGTCATATATGATTCTTACTTTTTGACGCATTGGAGAGATATTAAGGCCTGGTTTGATACTGAGGTGATTCTGAAAAAAACTGGTATAAAAAAAAGATGGAGCTTTTTTTGTGTTTGGTAAACATTCAGCTTCATTTTTTTTCACAGTTTTGGGTGAAAAAAGCCAAAAACAAGAAGCTGCAAAACCCAACTTTGAAAAACCGGTTTTTTTTTCACATCTGTTTTACATAAAAGTTTACCAAACACTATAATACTGCTTTTTTTTTTCAAAAGCATTTTTACAAAAAAGTTTACCAAACACTCTACAACTTTATTTCATAGTCACTTATTCTTACAGCACAGCATAAGCAGTTTTTTTTAAAGCACAGTAATACCAAACCAGCCATAAGTCAGCTTAGAGTTAAATGCAACTTTAAACTACAAAACGAATAGCCTTACACCAGTATATAAACGAGAGAACTTTAACGAAAAGTTTACAGTACTGTTCACTTTAATGAAAAATCATATTTTTACACTAAAAAGTCAATCTTGGTACTATTCACTTTACCCTTTATTTTGCCATTTTCGTTAAAACTCAAAGTTTTCAAACATTTTCATTAGTTTTTTCCTAAAAACGATCCTATATATAAAAGGAGAAATATTATTAGCTTTCTAAAAATTTAATTGTGCATTCCAAACTTACTATGATTAAAAAGAAAAATAATCTTACAAGAAGTAGACAGTTAAATTGTGACATAACCAAATGTATGAGAAAATTTTTAATGTACTCGGACATAGGACAGAATACATATGTTATTATACAATTAGACGAAACAACGCCTACTATTCATTCAGATGGCATATGAACTCCATGGTCTGTTGGTTGGAAATGTCAACATTGTTCCGACACTTTAAAAAAACCTTTACTCAAATTGTATAATAACATGTGATGTTTGTTCCGTGTTTAGTCGTACAAAAGAATCTCTCTGTATGTATAATGGTTTATCTCGAACTTAAAACATTTCCAAAAGAGATGTCAAATCCTAGGTGGAGATGCCACTGTGCATATTTGACATAAAAAATCATTCCAACCGAAGTGTTGTTTGCTGACTGGATTTGAAGCTTATATTATTAGAGTCAAATTTGGCATCAACGTTAAATTTATTTATAATAATTTTAGTGGTCGGTCCCTTACTCCACTAACATTTCAACCAATAAAAATTTTGTTTCAACAAATTTTGAAATAAATACAATCATTTAAAGCTCTATATTAATTAACAAAATAACATTTGATAATTCGTTAGAGAAATACAAAATTTAACATAAAACTTCAAAATCCAATTTCAACCAACAATTGTTATTTAACGTTTTATGAGGAGATGGTCTTAGGTCAACACCCCAATTCACCTATTTCCAACACGAATTTGATAGTACCAATTTCCAACATACCAATATTATTGATTAGCTGAACACTAATTTAAAAAAATTAATTTTGAAATGTCAAATTTTTTATTTTTTTTGAAAAATTTTGAAATGTCAACACTGTCATGAACTCGCTTTTGTGTTAGCACTAGCAGAAGACGACAAAAAGCAGCGACCTGCTAAGGAAACAGACGAAGTACCAAACTAGAAAAAATATATTATCCAAACAATAAAGAAACCTTTAAGGCAATAAATTATTATCACCAGTTTAATTAATTAATGGACACGTGGAACAATTTTACTTTATTTCACAGAAGAGAAGTGGGGGAGAGAGAGAGAGGGGGAGGGGGAGAGGGAGAGAGCAGGGAAGTGAGGATGGTGGGAAGCTGGTGAGAAAGAAGAGAGAGATTGAATTTGTGAGTGCGTTTAATGCAAGGAAATTTGTCGTTTAAGGCGATGAAGAAAGATGGAGCCTTTGCACCAAATAAGCCGATCCAATTGAGAGTAAGTTTTTGAGTAGAGAGAGAGAGAGAGAGAGAGAGTTCTTGTGGGTTAAAGGAAGGAGAAGAAGAAGAAGAAGGCATGCAGAATTCAAAGCTTACAGCAAAACCCATTTATTAGTTTCCAATTTCCTTCACCATATTTAATCTCAAAGGTGTTTCCTTTTCACTCACTCTTTCACTCTTTCTGCTGTAAATTTCATGCCTGTTTTTAGTTTCTTGAAATGGGTTTGTTTTATTTTCCTTTTTTTTGTCTGAACTTCTGTTTACAATTTATTTTGTTTCTGTTTTTTTTTTCATAACAAAATAAAAGGGAATTCCAATGGTAAATTTTACTGTATGTTAGTGAGCCTCTGGTTTGGTTGCATGTGGAGATTAAGATGGTGAGGTTGATCTTGTAGTGATTTTATTGGGTTGAGGTGATTGATTTCTTATTTGGGTAACACTTATTTTTTAAATCTTTTTTCTTTTGATAATTATTTTGGGTAATAATTTTAGTCATATGTTTTGCTGATTTTAGACTTATTCCTGTTCTTGGATATAAAAAAAAAAAAAAAGTTTAAACAATTCCTGTTCTTGGGTTTAATTGTTTCCAATTTGAGGATGGGACGTTAAAAAAATCATGGAACTTTAGCGCAAAAAAGTTTATTCAACATTTTGAGCCCTGCCTTTTCCATCTTTATGGTGCTTTTCATTTCATAGTTAATGTAAATATGTGATTGGATTATTTGATTTATAGAATCAACAGAAGTCTGATTATGTAGTGATTTGATTGCCGCATGTATTTTGAGTTTCTGTGTTGATCCGAATTAGTACTGTGGTTTAGAAATATTCATACACCGCAGAATCAGTAGCCGTGATAACCGTTTAGTCTATTTGGCCCTTGTAGCGAGTTCTAATTGATGAACTGAGGTTTTCCTAGCTGATATGCAATACTGAGGATCAGTTGGTTTGAAACTAGATGATGAATGTGACTACAGTGGTCGAGGGCGTTGCCTTTCCCTATATGTTTATATCGTCCCCTAGATAATTTTCCTCTACTTCCATTCATGATTCTTACTGGAGTTTTATACCCGGCACGTAGGATCGTGGACACTTTAGTTGGTGCATTCTGTGTAATAATATGTGCTGCATCAATTCTTGTCGGTGCGCCCCTTTTGGTACAGTGAAAGTGATATGTCTTTAGTTATGCATATGCTTACTATCAGTACCTTTGTTCACTCAAGTAGTTTTATGTTGTCCTTCGTTCCTCTTGAACTGATTTCATTATAGTTTGTTCAGTGCGTATGAAGTAAAATAGTTACTAAATTTTGGTGCTCTTCTTTTTTACTTGGGCAGCATTTCGACTGGTTGCACTTCTTGGTTGCTGATGAGTCGGTGATTTAAGTGAACCTTCAGGTTTTTCTATTGAACATATTTGAAGATCTATAAAGTTTCAACGCCATATTTTTGTAGACGAGCCTGAATAGTTGTTTTAGAAAATGCAGAATTTGGATAAGAAAAACTCTGGTTTTGGTTCTGCCCACCCAACATTTCCATTCGTTGTTGGATCTTCATCATGGGAGAATTCTACTGAGACACATGTCCAACACTCATCTTCCTCCAATAGCTTAATCTTGAACATGGGCGTGTCACTACATAATTATCATAACAGCAAGCAATCTCGAATTAACTTTCAAGATCAGGATTCATCCTCAACTCTGTCGACAGGTCAATCTCTCTCTGAAGTTGATAGTATGAAAGAAGGCAACCCCTGTGGGCAAGGCATAGTTTCAGCACAATCAGGTTCATGTATTTGTCGCCCCATATTTCTGTTCCCTTGTTTCTTTCTCCTTTAATTGATGTTTCAACTGAACTTTTTTCTTCTTAATTCTGCATGTTGGCGTTATTCTATCAATGTTTGTTTTTATTCTCTAATAAGAAACAAAATATCTGTAAAAGGATAAATTGATTTTAAGTTAAATGTACCACTTGGAGTAATGTTCATCAATTATGATTTGGACGGTTGGACAACACATATTAGGCCTTCGCTATGGTCAGGAATTGCACACGCCCCTTACCCATGATTGATCATTGCACTCCTCTTTATAAGTTAATATTATGCTCCTTATCAATATGCCAAAACTTGTATACATCTCCCTTCGCATACCACGATACCACTCGGAGAACTTCCCCTATTAAGTATTTGGTTCTTCACATTGATTTCTTTGTTACCAGGCCAGATCCGTATATCTAATTTGGTTTACCCTTGTTCTTGGTACAGGATATAATGAAACACAAGGGAAGCCTGTTGGGGCCCACATGAAATCACTATCACCAATGGAAAATCAGAGCTTTATCTTCCCTTCACAAATTGATGTTAGCCGTTCAATTGTAAGTTTTACCCGCCTGTGTTTTTTCTGGTCACAATGGATGTTGGAATCTTATATTTTTCTGGCTGTATTCAGGGTCATATTCCTTTCCACTATGCTGAGCCATACTTTGGAAGCTTACTGGCTACTGCTTGTGGGCCACAAGCTACGGTAAGTGCTTCAAAGTAAATACCAGTAGGTCCTCTTTTCTCAGGTGTTTTTGTTTTGCCAACTTAATTATAGCAGTAGAGCCCCCAGAGGTTGGTTGGTTTGTAGAACCTGCTAATCCTGTGAGTAGTGACTAAGGCTTGGTTATTTCTTTCAATGTGATTGCACAATATCATGAACACTAAATGATGCTTTTAGCATTATACTATTTATTTAAGGTAACTGATAGAAGTAATCACAAGGGGCGTGCCTTTAACCGGAAATCACATATAATAGATTACTTCAATTTTTCAAGAGCTTTCCAATTATGCTGCAGATGCTATAACTTTAGGTTCTTTTAACCAACTTTGAGGATAAATTAATAATTAACTCTTCTTTCACTATGACCAATGCAACCTCAATACTGCCAAAATGAACACAAAAGACACTTTGGAATGTTATGTTCGAAAATGTTTGTACACCTTGCACTTCAAACTCTTGTTTCTCTTTTCACAGTGAGTTGGCTATATATGTCTTTTTTTTGGTAGGAGAACTGATCCATATAAACTCATCAGAAATGTTATCGAGGGTTGGACCTATACAATCTTTTTAGGCTTTAGCCATGTAGCACCTTCCTAAGCATCTTGTCGTGCAAATTGTTTAAAGCCAACGTAACAGCTAGTTTGATATTCTTAAAAAGGGGTTCCAATGTATCTTATAAATTTCGGGATTCTGTGTTTCTCTTTATCTCCTTTGCTATTCTGATCTTTTTATAGTACTAAAGTTTCTTCTTGCTTACCTGTTAACCCTAGAATATATCTTTATGAAGTTGAACCTTCAAGGCATAGATGCAAAAAATAAGTGGGGTTAATCTTGAAGATCTATTCTTGTGAGGGTCAAAATACAAAAGTTATAAGATATGATATACAACTTAGTGGTTTTGATATAGATTCTGATTCTTTTTTTCCTTTAGTGTCAAACCATGACTTGAAGTTCTATAAAATACACCACTTGTGGCTGTTTTTGCATAAGAATGTTCCTCTTTTGTTGCGATGTTATGAGGTATTTACCATGTCAATGGCTCCAGATTCATCATCCTCAGGTGGTGGGGATAACTCCTGGTAGGGTTCCCTTGCCTCTTGATCTTACAGAAGATGAACCTATTTATGTAAACGCGAAACAGTACCGTGCAATTCTCCGGAGGAGGCAATTTCGCGCTAAGCTTGAAGCTCAGAACAAACTCGTCAAAGTTCGTAAGGTGTGGGAAGGTTTGAAATTGATTTGTAAATGCCCGTCTCTGATTTTTGCCATGGAGATTTGTACTTTTTTTTTTCACTGGTTTTGCTAAGGAAGACCTTTCTGAAATATGTGCAGCCGTATCTTCATGAATCTCGGCATGTTCATGCATTGAAGAGGGCTAGAGGAACTGGTGGGCGCTTTCTCAACGTGAAGAAGGTCCAGGATTCCAAGCCAAATACTACACACCTCAGAGTGAATGCTTCAGGCGCTGCTCAGCTACATTTGATCGGAAATATGTCAGAATCTGAAGTTCACGAACGTGACAACTATAGAGATGGTGCTTCCACTACCTCTTGCTCTGAAGTCACAAGCACTTCCAACGGTGATGACGTATTTCCACGGCAAGCTTTGAGGTTCTCTGCCTACCCCTCTCACATTGGTGGGACCATGCAAGTTCCTTTTGTTGATGTGCGTGGCGGCGGGAACCAGCACCATCATTCCATCCTCCGGTGAACAATCATCATTGCAGTCTGTGTTCAGGGTTCTGTTGGAGAACACGGCTGCTACTGTTCCCTCGGGAAGTCATCCTTGGCTCAGTTGAAGTTTCCTTTCAAATTCCTTCGGCGTTGTTAAAGTTACCTTTCTAATTCCTTTTGGAAATCATTCTCGGCTCTAATTCCTTTGGGAAGTCATCCTCGGCTCAGTTTCCTTTCCTGGTGTTCCTTTATCGTCATTGTTAACCCTTACATCCTGCAGTTAACCTTAATCCGTCTATTTCGCATTTAGTTTTCGGGCAAATACAAAGCATGCCGGATGAAGTATGATTAGATTGGTACACATGGTTGGCGAAAAGAACATAATTCTCTTGTGTGTGATGAATAATCTGCGTATTTGTGCAGACAGCTGACCGTTGGCTTTGAAGATCTTCTGCATTTTATGAAAAATAAAGTGTGTGCATTGACCTGTTGGTTTTAGAAGTTCTGGTGAAAGAGCATAAAAGTTTCTAAATTTGTCTTCTCTTTTCTATCCATCTTCTGGCCAAGACTAGGGATGGGCAATGGTTATGACGGGTGGGTAACTGCCGTTATTTATCCATAACCGTTTATTTTCATACCTGTATAACCGTTTACCTGTTGGGTAATTGCTTAAACGGTTATACTCATACCCATAACAGTTTATAAATGGTTAACCATACCTATAACCGTGTACTCATTTAACCGTAATCGTTTAGTTCTCGTTTACCCATATATCATTTTTTTAATCCGTTTATCATTTCTTTTTTATCATTTACTCTTTTTCATCCGTCTACGTGCTTTTTTAATAACTTGAAAATTAAAAAAGAAAAATTTGTCATAATTTTATTTTTCTAACAATTAAACACCGTTATAGGGTACATTCATCATACATTTCCGCATTTTAATTTTTTAAGTCCTTAAACCATTCCAATAATTGAAATAATAGTTTACGGATGATATTTTTAACTGTTAACAATGAAGGTAATATAAAATTTGCTAAGTATTCTTGGGTTACGAAAATTGTTAAAAGACAGTATTCTTAGGTTATTTAACTTGAAATGTAAAGTATTAACGTAATATATATAATGGACCATGAAATTTAAAGTGGTTAAGGAAAACTATATTATATTAGCTACATAAACCATGCACTATAGTCAATAGCATTGATCAAAGTTTTGTCCGATAGGGAACATGGTTTGTGTTAATTTTACATATATAAAATAAATTAGTAAACGGTTACCTATTTATAACCGCAGTTAATACCCATAACCGTCCATTTAAATTTCGCGGGTAAACAGTTATACCTATAACCGATAGGTATTTGTCCATCCCTAACCAAGACCAAAGGTTTTCTATTAAATTACCAATACAAATAGTAAAAGCACACCCAGTTTTACTTTCTTGATCACTACTATAGATCTCTTGCCCTTCCGTGTACTGGTTGCGGCCGCCGTTTTAGTAAACCAGAAACACAACACCAAGTCAAGGAGCTTGTAGCGTTCATTGAAATCCAAGTTATGATCTTGCCGTGGTCAAATTTGGTCATGGAAAGTAAATATTATGGACTCATTGCACTATCATGACTTTTCAAAAATGCAAGTGCAATGAATTTGGGACCAAAAGAAAAAACAACCTAAGCTACACCGACAAATTGTTCTATGTACAAGTTCAGGCTTTTATTTTTGTTTTATTTTCTTTAGAGTATTTTCTTTTTTGAACAAACGATAGTTTAGATTTTAACCCGGAAACAATTTTTTTGCTCAAACATTTCTGGCCTAAAATTTTAGCCCCGAATTATTAAAGAAAGAATTTAGGCTTTTTTTTTTAATTAACTTGAAAAAAAAAATTATGTAGACTATCCTAAATTAATTTTATGAACATTTTAATCTAAAAATATTTAAATTCCAATAAATATTGAAAAATCACTAAATCGACACATGAAACACTATGGAAGAATATGAAACACATGATAGAGATGTATAAACACAAAATACATGAAACACACAAGACACAAAACACATATAAAGCACATACAAAACACATGATAGAGATGTATAACACACCAAACATGTGAAACACATGACACACATGAAACACATACCAAATACATACAAAACACATGAAACGCATGAAACACAAACCTACACACATGAAACTCAAACATTCAATCATCCTCTATATATGCATAGGTTGAATATCTAACCATCACACAACATATTCACCAATCATCCAACTTTCATAGTGTTTTTGTTTCCTCAACATCAAACAACATATTCACCAATCACAACATATTCACCAATCACAACTTCTGTGGCGCTCCTTCCACTAGCCATGGTGTTTTTGAGTTAAATAATTTTTGGGTAAATTACACAGAACTACCTCAACTATTAGGTCGTTAACAATTTCATACCTCATCCTTAAAAAGTTTCAATGTCATACCTTATCTTCGAATTTGTTGCAATGTGCTACCTTCGTTACATTGGCTGTCAATTGGTTCGTTATATGATGATGTGGCCTATGCCACGTCCCACCATCTCCACATATGAACTTCTAGGTGGTCTGCCACGTAGATTTCCCACCAAATTAATTTCCACGTCATTTAAAAAAAAACTAGATATTTTTTTCAACATAATTATTTCCTACCAAAAATTGTCCACGTCAGCGAAAAAAAATATAAATATAAATAAATATATATATATATATATTTTAAAGGGGTCCAGTTTTGGAAGATAATACAACCTAAAAAAACCAAACCAAATGAAAATTGTACATAAACATATGATCCCACATCAGCACAAATCCTACATAAACACATGATATAACAAAAAATGAACACAAAGTCCACTTGAAACAAAACATTTGCAAAGACCAAAAGATGAAATGTAATTCATATAGCATCATTGATCCATCTAACATTTACAAAGATATACATTAGACATCCTTAAATATCCCAAAATGCACAGTGCACTGATCCAAAAAACATATTGAAATCCATCTATCAAAACAATGCAAAACAATGTATTTTCAGGGATACAAATCAGTTCAAAAAACCAAAAGAAATTCAATGTTTGTGATGTCTAATTCCAGAACCCATGTACCATAATTTTAGTTCCTACTGCACATAAAACATGAAGTGAAAAATAGTAATTTGTTACAATTTCTGGCATCTTTAGGTCTTGGTTTGCCTTGTCTTTCTCTGCTTGGTGGCTCTCGGTGAATGAGTTTCAGGATTTGCAGATGAACCATCCCCTGATTGTGATGCCTAATTTCAATGTTCATTACAAAAAGGTTAGATGCAAAGTAAGGTTCTAAACTAAACTTGCTATTGTAAACTACAAAGGAGATGATTAGGTTTTGTACCTTAGATTTCCTTGTTCTCTTTTTAGGTGCAACTTCAGCTGATGATGATGCTCTCTCTTGGGCTGATATGGATGCCTATAACAAAGTATAAAATCATTCATTAAAGGATTAAAGGATTAAGGATTAAAGGATCAAAGGATCAAAGGATTAAAGAAAGTACAAAATGTTACCTGTTTGTCCCTTAGAGGAAGATGTCGATGATGGGTCTGTGAATTATGTCATTCTTGCTTGCATATAGTACCCTTCAAAGAACCTTGCCTTTTCCTTCCTAGCTTAAGTGGCTTAGGAGGACCTTTATGATTATTTGGTGGGTTGGTGGGAGTTTGTTCACCATCTTTCTCCAAATCAGCAACTTTTTTTTTTTCTTCATTGGTCTTCTAGGTTGCCTTGTATATAATGGAGGCAAGATTGGTGGGTTTTCAATATCCTCCACAATGACATACCATTAATTGACATTATTAAGTGAGAATAAACTTCAAAGTACCGTGCCTTTGAATAGTATGCATCCACATAATCCTCAGGTTTTTCTCTCTTGAAATGGATGGCAGATATTGCATGGTTGCAAGGTATTCCCGTCAAGTCATACTTCCTACAAGAGCATGTCTTCTCAACCAAGTCCACCACATATTGTTCCCTACCTCTAGCATCCACTTGAAATTTGGTCCCTCCTGACCATTATGCAATGCACCTGCCACTTAAGAGTTTGGCTTCCTCTAACTTTTTCCTAATCTTAGGGCAGAAATCTCCTACTTGCTTCATCATTATACCTCTCTTCAATTGAATTTTTTTCATCAACAGTCTGAATCATTTGCAGCATAGTTATAATAGGCTTTTGCCTTGGCACTAGTATGACGGCATTAAATGATTCACACAAATTATTGAGCAACATGTCACACTTTGGATAGGTTTCAAAGTGGGCCTTGCTCAATTGAGTTGAAGGCTTCTTCACTAGCCAATTGTAGGCCTTCTCATCTAGCTTCTTAACCTCATCCATTGCCTTTTTGAAGTGTAACCGTTGTTGTTTTTGAAACTGCCCATAGAGCATCTTTCAAAGTTTTCCCCTTGAACAAATTCCTATAGTTTATGTACAAATGCCTTACACAGAATCTGTGGTGGAATCTGGGGATGACCTTTTGAAATGCTGGAATTAGCCCCTTTTGCTTGTCACTGATAAATGTCCACCTATTTTGGTTTTCTATACCCACATCATCATCTAACAATTGTAAGAACCAAACCCAAGCTGCCTTATTTTTCATTTCCACCACTGCATAAGTAATAACCCGTGTCTCATCATTTGGATCAATGCCAACAGCACATCATAACTGCCTTCCATGTAAAACCTTTAAGTAGTACCCATCTAAACCTATCAAAGGTCTACATCCTGCCTTAAAGCCATCTTTGCACGCCCCCAAGCAAACATATATCCTCTGAAACCTTTCCCCATCCAACTTCAATTTCACAGTGCTTCCAAGGTTAGTCCTTCTTACTTCCTCAGCAAAATCCCATAGTTTTGTATATTGCTCTGCATGTTTCCCTTCAATAATCTTGAAAGCTTTATTCAATGCCCTATAAGCCTTCATCTTTGTACACCAATGATTCCACTCAGTTTTCATAGTGGATAAAAAAGATTCGACATGCCATATGGGATTGAACTTTATCCGATCTAAGTACAAATCTGTGAGTAAAGAAGTAGTTATGTTCTTATTTGCCCAAGTTCTCCCACATGTGTGGTGATCAAGGATTGTCTTGATTTGGATGTTGCTTGATCCATGCATCTTGCCAGCAGCAGACATCCAAGTGCAATCCTTTACACATTTGGCAGTAATCTTCAACTTCTCATTCCTGTGGAAATGAATTTCCCCATATCCTTTCACTAAGGAATGCATCATGACGACTTTCTTGAATTGCACACTGTCTCTGAAAATAAGCCCTAAAGTAAGCTGTGGATTCTTCATATCCGTTTTCTCATTAAACTCTGGATAATGCTATCTTTTTGGGCCTCTTTCCTCGTCTTCAAGTGTACACTTTCCAGATCATCAGAATTATAATCTGGTTCATGAACCAGATTCACCCCCTCGTCTCTAGCTTCTTCAACCTCTTGTTGTCCTTCTTCTTCTTGTCTCTCCCATTTTCCTTCATTTATTTGCTCTTCTTCTCCATCATTTCTCTCCTCAGTTTGCCTTTTTTTCCTTTTCTGAGATTGCCTTCCTGTTCTTTGCACCTCATCTGCTTCCTGAATCACATCATACTTAGCAAAATTTATGTTATCTTCATCACTCCTATAGTCACTCTCTACAAAGTCACTGTCTGTTTCAGGATCTTCTTCTTCACTTTCTTCTTGGTCTCCTTCAAAATCGACAGTTACATCAAAAAAGGTATCACCGTGTTCCTCTTCACCTTCTTCACCAATTGTACACCTAGTTCATCAACTTGTACATCTTGTAAACCTCCTTCTCGAGGAACTTGTACATCTTCTTCCTCAGCCACACTTGTACCAGCCACATATTCTTGGTGAAAACCTTCATCCGAGCACATAACAGTCACCTCTTCTTCACTAGACACCCCCTTATTATCTGAAGGTCCTTCAATAGCTAGTAACCACCTTTTTTTTCTTGGTTTACAAGTTATTGCCATAACATCCCCTTCCTCCTTACTTAATTCCTTAATAATCATTGTGCTTGGACCGGTGCACTTCATAGACTCCATAAATTGTTGTTCCTTTGGTAAAGGTTTCTTCTACAGACAATTCTTCAATGTACATGTCTAACACTCGAGCCTTTGGAACAAAGTTGCACATCTTTTGTACATCGGCATCACTTTGAATGAGCTTCAAACCATTACTAATGTCCATGTTGGGAATCTTGTAGTAATAGTTCATGAATATCTCACTATATCTTATAACTTCCACCATATCATCTATCACAGGGAGTGACATTAAGTCCTTGTTGCAATAATCTATATATGCAACTGTCCCCCCACAGAGCTCCTACACCATGGTGCAAACATATGGAAAATAGTTCTGGTTAACTTGAAATTTACAAAAAAAAAAAAAAAAAAAACAGTTAAAACCCTAAGACCACATCCCACCACAAATGTAGACAAAGCAAAGCACAATGCACATCACAAAGAAACCCTAAGCCCTAAAGCCTAACTCCTAAGCCCCAAGCCTTAAGGCCTAAGCCCTAACCCCCAAGCCCTAAAACCTAACCCCCAAGCCCTAAGGCCTAAGGCCTAGCCCCTAACCCCCAAGCCCTAAGCTAGCCCTAAGCCCTAAGCCCTAAGCCCCCCCCCCTAAGCCCTAAGTATAAGCCCTAAGCCCTAAGGCCTAACCCCTAATCCCTAACCCCTAACCCTCAAGCTCTAAGGCCTAACCCTTAACCCCTAAACCCTAAGGCCTAACCCCTAACCCTTAAGCCCTAAGGCCTAACCCATAACCTCTAAGCCCTAAGGCCTAACCTGTAACCCCTAAGCCCTAAGGCCCAACCCGTAACCCCTAAGCCCTAAGGCCTAAGGCCTAAACCTCTATCCCCTAAGACCTAACCCCTAACCTCTAAGCCCTCAGGCCTAACCCTTAAGCCCTAACCCCCAAGTTGTAAACCCTAAACCCTAAACACAAAAAACACTACATCTTCTTCACTAACAAAAAATCAACAAAAGGACCCTAGTTAGTGCAGGCAGCAAACCTTAGGACCACACCCACCCCAAATATAAACAATTGCAATTTAACACTCAACAACAAAGTAAAGCACAAAGCACATCATAGATAAAAGCACAAGAGGACCCAAAAGGACCCCATTATCCAACAAATCAGTAAGCATTTTGAATAAATTTGAAAATAACCCACCAATCTCCAACAAACAAAACACCTAAAGGACCTTCCATTATCCAATATTTGAATAAAGAAAACAAAAGAAAGCACCCAAATTTCAACTTTTGTTAAACAATTATACAAGGGACCCCTAGGACCACCACCACCACCCAAACTACCTTTTCCCTGAGGCCACGACAACAATACACAAAGCACCCACCGGACCCCTGGACCACCAGCACCCAAACAACCTTTTTCTCGACAACAATAAACAAATGACCCACATGACCCTCATTCTACAACGTATCCGTAAGCATTTCGATTAAACAATCAATGAAACCCACAAATCGCCAACAAAGATTTTCGAATCAACAAACCCAGAAAAATGGGAATAAAAAAAGGGATGCAACAAAGCACAAAACGAACTGAAATTTGTACTTACAATAGGTAGGCGTCGTTTGCTTGGGATCCTCGCGCACATTCCACCCCATTTCGAATCCTTCAAAATACTGTCAAATCTTTCGCCAGAAGAATTTAGGGTTTTCAACAAAAACAAACAAAAGGAAGGTAGGCGACGACAACATGAACTTAGGGTTTTCTCTCAATGAACTATTAATCGTGATTTGGACAACGATTTGGGGTGGGTGATATGAAATTAGGGTTATAGTTCTTTGATTTGGGAACTGGAACAAAAGAAATGGAAGGGAATCACATGGGTTGGGGCTTTACGCTTCAATTCAAATTGCACGATTCACAAGGGAAGTTTTTTAAAAATATTTGATTTAAAAAAAAAGAATTTTTTTTTAATTTAAAATTTTTTGTGCTATACATGTGTCATCCTTTTAGATGATCCACGTGTATTAGATGCCAACGTGGAAATTCATATGTGGAGAGGGTGGGACCTAACATAAGCCACGTCAGCATATAACGGAGGAATTGACAGATAATGTAACAGAGTTAGAACATTGCAACAAATTCGTAAGCAAATATATGATATTGAAACTTTTTAAAGACAAGGTATGAAACTGTTAACGACCTAATAGTTGAGGTAGCTTTTTGTAATTTACCCATAAATTTTTTATTTATTATTTTAGCCGTTGGATTTAAATTTGGACGGTTAGATCTTTTTTTTACTGTTAGATTTGATTATATTCAATCTTAGCTGTTAGATTCAATAAATATATAAATAAAACAATAAAAAATAAAAAATTGAATGTAGGATGTTGGATCAACAAATGGCCCGGTTGATTCAAGTTGTTGGATCACAAAAGTAGTCGTTACGGTTCATTAATATCGGACACAAGTGGCCGACATGCCCACATGGGTGGAGCCATGCCGTTGGCTGAGCTTGGCGCGTCACTTGCGTGCACGCATCCGTTAGAGGCGTTTGGCCTTCATACACCCACTTTCACTCTCACTGGTAGGCCTCACATGTTTCTTTGGCCTATTTTCTGGCCGGAATTTGGGCCTTTTTTTTTTTCTGGATTTAGCACTTAACTTCAAATTAGAACTAGGATTAGAATGGAATTGGGGGAGGGGAGGGGGAAGGGAATATAAGGGAAATTATAGGACTTACTCAAAGGGTTGGAGTTGGTTTAAGGGAAAGGGGTGAGCATAGCCTCACAATAGACTAATAATAATGTGGTTTTCTTAAAGATTTAAATTCTTTGTTTTGCATATTCGTCCCTACATTTTGAAGTTGGTCTATTGAATTTTTATTTTTATTTTATTTATTATTTTTATTTTTTTGAGTATGGGTTATTTCGAAAACTTAATATTTCAGCAATAGGTTGATGAAAACTTCATTTTTGACATAGGTCAATGGAGATAATTTTCATCTTCAATTAAGGTGGCTTATAGCTCCACTTAGTTAATAGCATTTAGCCTTATACTTGAGGTCTAGAATTTGATTCCCTCCCTCTCGAATATCACTTGAGATCGATAAATTTTCTCTTCGCTGATTGAGCTCTCATTGAAGCAGAAAATAAGTTTTTGGCCCCAATCATAATATTCTTTTGTATATACATAGACAAATAAGTAAATGATCATTTGGACTAAATAGTCGTAACTTTAAAATTTGCTGGTGTAGATCCTAAGTACAAATTTAGAGCCAACATCATTTGACTCGCCCGTTAAAGCAGCTCCAGCCATGCATGTAGGCCGGGGGACAGGGGAGAGGAAAGGGCCCGAGGCCCTGTGAATCAACTCCAGCCTTGAAGAGCCCGAGCTGGTGGAGAAAGCCCGAGCAGGAGGCTTGTCAATTTTTGACAGCCCGTGAGCCTGAGCTCCAAACCCTTTTTTTATTTTTTTCTGTCAGGCGCGTGCACCCCACTCGCGCGTCGGGGCGCGTCGCCCGACAACTTTTCAGAAAATCAGCAACTTTTGCAGATGGCCTCAGTTACCGTTGGGAAGCCACGTGGCTTCCCACGGTCCATTCGATCTCAACGGCTCCTTATATTGGACCGTTGGATCTCAACGGTAAAAAAAATAAAAAAAATCTTATTTAATATCAACCGTTCGATCTGAGATCAACGGTCGATATTAATATGCTTTATAAATAAAGAAAAATAGTTTTAAAATTAAGAAAAGTTACCGTTATGACACGTGGCACAATCTGCAGTGTTGGAATTCAAAATTTTTTTTAAAATCCAACGGCAGAGATTAATTATTTGAATAAAAATTTAAAAAAAATTTGTAAAAAATTGTTTTTACTTTTCTATAAATACCACTTCTTCTCCATCTACCTTACACCACAATTTCATATTTTCTCAACTACTTTCAATCAAATTCCTATTTTTCTCTCAAAGTTTCAATCCAATTTTTTTTCCACAAAATGACTACTGATGCAGGTACGAATTGGTCGCTTCTTGAAGATGTTGCGTTGTGCACTAGCTGGGTTGAAGTTACTCATAATTCCCTTACGAGTAATGAGATGCAGTTGCGAGAAATGTGGAGTTTAATTCATACCAAATTTCTTGAGCAAATAGGTGGGAAAAGAACCAAAGAATCGAAGTCCAGTCGTTGGAAAATACTTTGCCATTCCTTTAGTACGTGGAGAGATGCCTTGACACAAGCTAGTAGTAATGTTCGAAGTGGGGCAAATTATGCGGATGAGGTAAGAATATATTATAATTATTTGTTTGTATT